TCGGTTAGATTAATTAGGTTCGAATCCAGCGAACGGGCTGGCTGCAAGGGTGTGTTTGCGTGGTTTTCCCCATGTGTAACGTGTATACGAGCCAGTTTCCCTTAGAAAGTCCTCCACGAAGGTATCCCTCCCCTTAGGCATATAGCCCTCGAGGCTTTGCCGTAATTAAATAACCTAACCTAAATCGGAAACAGGTTGTCGAAAAAGGGCCTTTTTTCTGGGTTTCGGCTTTTGCTTGGAGTAGGATTAGAAGGTTAAAGAAAATGAAGAAGCAGAAGAAAAAGAGAATATGGATGATAAACTGGTAGATGGGTGTGAGATAATGAAAGAGAGAAATCAGAGTAATGTGGTCATTATTTTCGATCATTTGCAAAATAAAACAGAAATTACTGAAGACGTATAGGCTTCGTGGAAGATCATCAGCTGTACTGTTCCGGACTGATACTTAGTTAGCGATTTAAAATATCCACTTCCACCTGATGATGTGTGATGATCCGGATGCTGTATTTTTATTCAGGAAGTACTACAAAGACTGATAATTAGTTAGCGAGTAACGAATTTTCCGAACTAGAATAAAGAGACGGTTTTGAACTGGTATTTCGCTTGATAGAGAGAATGGCTCCACTCAACGAACAATAACGAATAATATTAAAGACTGTAAGCGAATGTGTTAAGGGCCGATCACATAAATTTACTCAGAAAGTTATCTTTCAGCCTCCCGTAATTTGTTTTTATGAAACTCTGAAGTCTGCTCATCCTTTATCTCCTCTTAGTTTGTTGCGCTGAATATGTAAGTCTGAATTTTTTAATGCCAATATGTATTAAGGGTTTTAGGCTATGGTCATGATTTGTGAGTTTATTATGAATTTAATATGTTAACGTGCTATATAGAAACTTTTGTATGATTGAAAATGGATGTTTTCATAGCTATAGATCCGTGTTTATCTGTCTAGAACAGACAGTTAAAGCATTTTTAAATTGTGTTATCTAAATCGTTAAAAGTGTTTGCCACTGTAATAGATTTTCAAAAGGATCATTTGTAAGGGAGATTAAAAATAGCGTTTTTCAATTTTGTGATTAATTATCACCAGCAATATAACGAAAGGATACATAAATATTTAAATAAAATATTAAAGAAGAAATCCATACTGGAAAAGAAAGATATTATGATGTATAATAACATCATAGGCTCAAAACCGCGTTTCCAAAAACGATTTCGTGATATAAAAACAAGGTTAGTATTTTGAATACGGCTAAGCCACAAGGACTATCTGAGTAGATGGATATTTTGTGGAGGACTTTCAGAAATAAATGTCTCGTATTCACGTTACACATAAGGAAAATTACAAACACCAACCATGTAACCAACCCGTTTGTCTTTTTTCGAACCCAAACCAGATAAAACTACCAGTATTCAGCCAGCTTAAACTCTGTTATAGGTGGAGCTTTTTGATGTCCAAATAAGTTAAACAGAAAAATTAAATTGTTTTGGTCGCTTAAAATTGTATTGCAGTATATTTAAAATACATTACAGGAAATCTCCAAATCAATGCCTTTTTTGTAAATTTATTTAAAAAGTGCATACTATGTGACTTATATTAGAGATATACTCATGTGAATTTTTGAATGTCAATATGTATTAAGGAATTTAGTCCCAGTTCCCTCAGTGCCGCAAACATTGGGGACCTGTTATTACATGAGTCGATTAAAACTTGACAGACTGACGAACTAAACGAAGACTTGTTTTAAGTCATCTCCTTTGTTGACTATTCTTTCAGTGGAAGACACTGCGATATGTCACTGGAATGTGTGAAACAGAGTGATTTTTTAAGATAGTTAAATTACGGTTAATAGTTAAATTCGGTGGTGAAACAATAAATATAAAGTAAAACGTATCAAAACCTACATATTTTCAAAAATTAAATTTAATTAGTGTTTAAATTTTACTTATAACTTGTTTTTAACATCTATATCTGATTATACAGAATTTAAATAACAAATGATTCAATCTAACCGGATAAAAATGAAGTTTTCTGCGAGGCGTTAAAATTACCCATAAGAAGTCAGCAGCTACTCAAATTACTATTATTAGATATGGCCAAGAATTAAATTCAAAAAATTTTTTGCAAAGAAATTGCATCATTTTTGTGATATTTTATTTGCTTACTCAGTCACCAGACCATCCTAACGAAAGAAATAACAATAGCTCTCTATAGGACAGTTTATTACTGATACCTATTCGGCGTCAAACACATGGCAACTCAAATAATGTGGCAGGTATCACAGTCTGCAGAACATTTCTAACAATCTGTCGCACTTTGAAGTAAAGTGTCTCCAAGTGTAAAATTAACTACCGAAAGAAAGAACAGCAATTCTTTGGAAAATTCTCCCAGTTGCAATTTACAGTCCTAACGAAAAAAGAACACAGATCGATTTAAGTTGTGGTCTCACCGAATCGAATGTCGTGGCTGAAACGAACTAGTACTTAAACGATCTCCTCATGAATAGAATTCTCAAACACATTTCTTCTCCTCCAATGTTCTCCCTCTTTTTCTTTTTCTATCCTGGACGCTAACCCTGCGGCTATAAACTAACCATAACTTTCTTCTTTTGGTGGTATCATCACCAACTCAACATTTATGCTTTTATTTGGTGTCTAGTCGTTCTCTCGGGGATAAAAGGAATAGCTATTATTACGTCCACGTCGTTTGGTGCTGGTCGGATGATTATAGCTCGAAGTTGTATTTTTGTTCGAGTATGAGATACGTTTTGAGATAACTTTTTTTATATACGACAAAGTGGGAAATGTTATGCTAACAAAAACGGTATAGGTATGATTATTGGATATATTTATTTTATTATTGGTCATGTTTATTTTTTCGAGTAATAATCTATTAGACATGATATCGTTTACAAGATGTTATTTTGAGCTTTTATGCTCAAGGAGAAAAACAAAATATCAAAAAGAATAAAGAGAATATTTTTTGCTTTAAAATTTGTTATACCTTAAATAGAAATGTATGTCGTTAATCACCTGATGAAAATGAGAACGAACATCATGCTCCCACGTTCAGTAAATAAATCAATGTATTATTTTAACATAACTTTCTTCAAAGCTGCATCAGTCGAAACACGCAAGGAGGTGACCTGAACTCTAGAAGTCTCGACACAAATTTTCTAGACCTGAGCTTCTAGAAATGTTTTCTCGGGGGACATACCCGAGATATAATAGATAGTCTGTTCCTACAATACTGAATTATCGGAATTTAAAGCAGCGGAATGTTGCATCAGAGCATGGTATGCAGTTTCATCACGTCTAATGTAACTGTCTCTGAACTATAGATTGCCTTGAAGAAGGTGCACATATAAAACCCCTTCTAAGGCAAACTTACATCTTTTCCTATCAGATCTTATACTACATGTTTACTTACTGTTAGAGATAATATTTTCGCATCTGAGAAATATCTGCTTCTTTCAGTTTAAACACTTTGTTTAATGTTTGTTATCGTTATTTACATTACTTATTCAAAACGTGTTTTGAAATAATTAATTATAACATCACTTTATCAAACGCTATAAATTTGAGAAGAGAGACTCATATTAAAGTGTAACACCTTAAACACTTTCCAGAACGAATTTTATCGTGGCAAAGAGTACAGACTGGCATGTATTGCTGGCCTTCAGCATAAAAAAGATGCTGAAGGCCAGCAATACATGCTGAATAATTTCCACCCCAATTTTTAAGGAAGAGGTCTTTGAGGAGCGGTCCGACGGTCTTCCACTCCTTTTCTGTGACCACCAAACTGCACGAGAGGACTTCGGGCTCGTCATATATGTATAGCAAATTCATGCCGAAAACTCTAGACATTTCAACATCCGTGCCTTCTCCGGGTTATGATTCCAGACCCTTCGATACGGCAGTAAGAGTCACTAACAATTATCCCGTTGCCCGGCAAAGTGTAGGGTATAACTGGCATGCAGGAAAAATATATTTATTAAAAAATACTTACATGTCTTCAATAAATATTCTATAACTAATGAAACCATAAATCAGCTGATAGAAAAATAAATATTCCTCTCTTTCAAAATTTCACAGTCAAATCACAAATTATATCTTTGAAAAAGGCTGAGTAATTCTAAATTCAAACTGAATGTTTCGAAAACTTCACAGCTAAAAATGTCGATTAACTCAAACTGCAGTGAGTTTCATTAAAATTATAATTTTTGATATGGTTTTAGAGTGAGTGTATATGTTAACAGAATGAATTTAAATTTTAAAAGGCTTTAGTAATCAATACTGTGTACATTTTGCATTTACTTTATAACAAAAATAGCTGTTTCTCAGTTTTAACATAGCAAAATAGAGTAACTCTGAGATAACTGGAAAAATTTGCAATCGTTTCCTGATTATTCACAGGTTTTTTTTTTTTTTTTTTTTTTTTTTTGTATAACTGAGCTTTATACAAAAATATCCATGTTTATTGAGGAACGAATGAAAATTTATTATCACAAACCATCACCGTAAAAAAGTATTGCCTAAGGAAAATATCATCAGGAAGTATCATGGTCATCGTCAGTGGTAAGTAAAGATAGCCTAGTATTTTGTGAGTTGTATTTTTCAATTAGACGTTATTACGCCTAATTTATTGCAGAAACATTATTAAAACATCTATTAAAATTAAATATACAGCCATTAATCTTAGATGCGTAGCGCAATTGTAACGATTTTTAACTTATTTTCTTCATTTCTAACTATGATCTCCCCTCTTTTTTTTCGTTCGTTTTTGCTTCGAACACTGACATAAAATTCTTAAATAAATTTATTATAGAGATTAAATAGATTGTGAAACAGGTATTTTTTTAAATTTTAAATTAATTAAAAAATAATCTTTTCTGTGTACTGCGTGCTACCCAAGCTAATGGGCAATTGAGTGCAAGATTTTGTTTTTCTACTCATGAATAAACATTTAAATAATTAAGTTCAAAATTTCTACACTTACCATCTGTGTGCACAGTTGAAACATAAGTCCAGTTGTATGTCCGTACTAAATCAACCATCACTTGCGCTTGGTAGAAGTCAGATGGAACGACCCGCAGAAAATATTTATAGAAACTTTTATCACTGAGATCTCGACTCGTAGCAGAATAACCAATTTGAGGAATGTTGAATAACTGCAGAAGATTTTGTACTTGGATAGTGACAGTACTGGATCCAGGTCCGATGACACCAACCAAGTTCTTCAGGGATTTTGCTGGTTTAACTAGACATTCTGGTACATTTTCCACTGGCACGCTGGATGCATTGGCTTCAGCAATAACGTCGTCATTCAGTTTGATAGCATCACGAATGAATTCAATGCTTTGATCCAGAGCAATTGGTGAGTACCAGCAAGAATCTCTAATTTCTATACCTAATGTGATGTTTGGTAGTAATGTTTCGTTCCTATTTATTTCATCCACTGTTTGAAATGAAGCTTCGACCCTTTGAAGGCCATACTGCTCTCTAATATCACCGCATGTGCGTGATTGTGCTTGTTTTTGCCCTGGAGCATGATGTACGGAAAAGAGAGCACCGATCATGATATCACCTGGTATAATAGCTGTCCTTTTAGTTCTCCTCTGACAGGCTACCATTTTCCAGATGGAAAGGATAATGCAAGCAGTCGTCAGCAACTGAAAGAAACGTTGCTTGCGTAATTGTAACATTATGTTACTGATCTGGAGCTGTCTTTCCAAAAAAATCCGGATGATTTCAACAGGAATCTAGTTGTCATATTTGAACAATTACGTAGAGATTGCGACATTTAGAAATTAGAAGTTTGCTTGGGGAATTCAAATTAGAGCAGCAAAAAGAACTGTCAACTTTCAGAATTTATGTTCAGAACCTGATTTTGTAGAGGAACTAACATCAAATATATCATAAACATAATCTTTTCTTCCAGCTGCAAAAGAAAAATACGGTAAGTTATTAATTCAACTCATCATACAGGGATACAAAATATTTTTAAAAATATCATAGTTTGGCATAAGTATAAATTTTTGTTAACATATTTTTATTATAAAACACCTTTAGTGAAAATTAAATAAATATTTTTAAAAATATTGCAAAATAAGAAAATATACTATTTTTTCACATTTGCTCATAACAAAAAAAATTAATTTTAATTTTTCTTTGGTTCATAAAAATTCGTATGTCTCATACACAAATAGGAATAGGTTGGTGAACGAAATTTAATATTCACTTTAGAATATTTTCTATACCTTAAAATGAAAACGCGTGGAATAAACTGAAAAATATCTTCCTAATTCAAAACCAGTTTATACCTGAAAGAAACACATAACAAAGTTTCTACATTCTTCAAACTTTAGGTACTTGAAAATTATCATTTCGGACATAAATGGATTTTTTTATTATTAATGAGTGAATTTTCCTTCATGCTGTGATCATGTTTTGACTCCTTTTTCTACTTATTTCTTATTATGTTCGACAAAAACTTTACTTTTCCTTTTATTACTTACAATATTATTTCATATATTACAAATGTGAATAAACTAAAGTTTAAATAAACAATCTTAGACTAAACGTTCTCTTGATTATGAGAAATGAAATAGTTTATATAGCTTTACGATTCTTGTTAAATTAACTGTGGAAAAATTGGCAAAATGAAGCTCATCACAATTTAATAAAATTTTCATTATCTTTAACAAAAGCAATGGGAATTTCGTCATTGTTTATAAACGTAGCATTGAAACAACTAAATGTATGCCGATTAGTAATTGAGCGTGTAGTTTGGATGGTAGGATAAAGTAAATTTAATTACTCATTTAAATTTCTCCTTTAGTCTCCATTTCGTTGTAAAACTTAAAAAGTGGTATCATTAATAATATATTTCTGTTACCTATATTAACTTATGGAGAAAAAAAGGCATCTAGCAGCAATAGGAGTTTAAATAAGGAGGAAAAACTACATATTTACACGTAACAGAGGAAAAACTTCTCAACTACTGTCTAGATGTTCTGATGATTGCATTAAACCAACACACAGACGAAATTTCTTAGATCCTTTCAGATTATTATATTTTATTGCCCGCTTTATTATTACAATATGTTTCTAAATGCTCAATTCCGAAACATACAAATGTTTATTGAATTACAATGAAACACATTCGTTTCAATAAATGTAATCAATATAATGTATTTAACTCTCGTGCATATTTTTTAATCCAACATATAGTAAACAACCGAATTCATTAAATATCTATCTTTCTACCTTTCCAAACACAGAGACAACCATTGTCACTAGCTGTGACATTTGTCAGATTGGTATTTCTCCGGTATGAAATACAATGTATAGCCTAAAATAATGAGGTTATTAGTCTAATGGGAGGAATGCCTTCTTTGAGGACTTTCTAAGGGAAGTCGGCTTGTATTCATGTTACACATATGGAAAAGCAATCATATGACTACTTCATTCGTGTCTTCAACCCCGAGTCAGACTACTAGTTCATCGGTCTTAATCACTCGACCACAGACCGCAGCTGCAATAAAGAATAAAAGGAGGGGGAATCTCTTAGTTTTCACCCATTTTTAAACGGAAACGCTATATTTCATGTCCTAATGGAACATCAGACTCTGCTTTTTTTTACAATGTTCATGTAAAATGTTGCATATATTCATGTTTATATAATGTTGCGTTTTTGTTTCTTGATTCTGAACTTGTTTGCTGCAAAGGAAAACAAAATTCACTTCATTTTTATAATTCAGAACCGGGTTTACAACTGCCAGGAATTTGATTAATAGAAGACGAAACTATCGCAGATAGGAATTTTTATTACTAATGTATATTGTATCAAATCTCGGGAATCCGTTTCACCTGAGCTTACTAATCACTAAATAATGACTGTCAGGTTATTTGGAAGTAAGCAACATTATTGTCTGTCAAGAAACTATATATGAAGTAAGTACAATGCAACAATAATAAATATGAAAAACGAACTATCTCCATCTAAGGATGAGATTGAGGAGCAGAAGCAATCTTCAAATTAAGATTTTGAGAAATTTATAATAATTAAAAAATAAAAACTAGTATCAAAATAGCATTCAAAAGCAACAATCAAAAATCTTTTATGGATATGTTAAAAGAAATAACTGTGAAAAATTGAATAATAGGTTTGAGTAACAGTAGTTATTAAATGATCGAATGAGGACACATACAAAGAAATTATAAAATATGGAATTTTGATAATAAGCACGCATAAAATAAACATAAAATAATAAAAAATATGTCTACATCAATAATTTTTAACGAGTTAAAAATTTCAAAAATTATTCTTTACTTTAGTTTTCATATCAAAGAATTTTTAATAAACATGATGACGACAAATGACAAAATTTCACATTTTTCTGAAATGATTCATCAAATGTATAAAAGCACGAGAAAGTTTCTAATGAAAACATTAGACATCAAATAAGGATAAATTAAAATTTTCTAATAAAAATACATATACAAATAGAGGAATGACAAAACAATAAAAAATATAAATGATTAAATATCGAATGAGGATAAATGATAAATTTCTAATAAAAACATGAAACACGCGGTGCTCTTAGTGTGAAAAAAAGGCTGTCCCGTTTCTTTAGCACCCTTAATTACAAAAAAAGAATAATAAAATTAGATTTTTGAACAAGTTTCAGTTAAATAATTTAAAACCACCTCCTTGAAAATAGAATTTACATCTTCTTCAGACACATGCGCTTTAAATACAATGTCACAATCTTTTATTTTATCAATACGTTTAATTATAGAAGATTTTGAAAGTATTTGACATATGATACCTAAAATCAAATCATTCCATTCTTTAACATCTTTCAATTGTTCTGTAATACTTTCTGATACATTTTTATGTCTAGAAACTAATGTCATATTTCTCGATTTCTGTATAATGAAATTATCACTTTTGGAACTCTGAAACTGTTTCCCAATACAATTTAGAAGCATTTCCAATCTTACATTTTTCAAATAAGGTCTAGTATCTTTTCCAAATAACGTCTGGCTTTCAGATAACGTACGCTCTCCCAATGAATTAAGTCCTCATTTTCGATGAAAGATCTTTCTAATAGTCTTTGATATTCACATATATTATGCCAATATGCTTTCCTTTTATATTCTACGATAAAAGATTCTGATAAAGTCTGATATTTTGAAATAATAGTTCAATACACAGTATTTGCAAAACTTCTAATCAAGCTTCCAGATAATTTATCTGTTCTCGGAACTTCCGTCCTTTTATAGTCTGCCATTTTTGAGAAAGGGCATTTCCAATTTGTAATCATAATATTTGTCATCAATATTTCCTTTGATTTTTAAAAAATTATCCCCATTTTTAATTTTTTATTGGTTTCATCAGAGAGATTACCATAGTACGTTTGAAGCAAATAACATATTCTTTCCTCATGTACAGTTAAATTAGGAATTGTTAAGCTAGTTTTAATGAAGGTTACAACGTTTTACATATTTCTACTCAAATTTATTTGTGTTCATTCCAATTTTAATGTATTTTATACACTTTTTTATATTTTACCATACATTAATTTTTATGTATATTTTAGTTGGGGATTTATAATGTGCCCTGATTCGATGTTTAATATCTTATTATAATATATGTTCTGATCTTTTTATTCCTTTTTATGCAATTTTTCTAGAAAAATTTGAAATTTTATCATTTGTTCTCATCCCGTTTATTAAAAAAATCCTTAATTTGAATGTTGAGGGAATAAATGGTTGAAAAATCTTTAAATTGTTTAAAACTGTTAAATTAAAAATATTTTCAAATTTTTATATTTATTTTACGCGTGCTTATTAGAAGTATTTGAATTTTTAAAATGTCTTTGAATGCGTCTTCATTCGATCATTTAATTACTACTAATGAGTTTATTCAAATAAATTCAGATACACCATGTTTTAAATTTGATCGTTTCTTGAGATAATAAACTTCTGTCAATACTAAGGGTGCTGAAACAACTGCGTTTCTGACGCAGGGCCGATTTTAATGATCAGTAACACATAAAATGCATATACAATTTGCACAGAAAAATAATAATAAAATTTATAAATAGAAACAGAGATCAATAATAGATAAAACACTTTTATATCCAATGGACGGAAGTTACTACACTTTAAAAGTCAGAAACAAATTGAGAATAAGTTTCAACAAATACTCATAGTATAGGATGACGTGTTAGCTGCTTGTACCTTGAATGACACTTCTCATGCTCACATAAACAGCCAGTCCCTTGTTGCGATGTAACTTAAAGTAACAGTCAATTTCAAGTTTAAAACTTAATATCCAAACACTGCACAGTTACTTTAACGCGAATTTGGCTCAATCTTCTCACCGGCGTAACAATTTAAATGTCGGCAATTATAATGCAAAGCAGAAGAATACAATCTTATCTGAACTAGAAGAAACCTAGAAAAGTGTGCCTAGAATGTGCGATTACATTAAGTAAGGATATCAGTTACGGAATTGCGAAGTTATATTGACGGCTGATAGCAAACACTTCACATGTAATCAAACAGCCGCCTTTGTATGCATGCATTAGTGTGATATCATGTTCCAAATTTTCTCTACATCAATAATAATTGAAAGTCAGTCTTTTTACCAAACTATTGCTCTGCGGTTGAAACATGCTACCTTATTAATGTGAGATGATCCTGCGACCAGTTCAAGTGGTTCCCTGTATAGAAAGTATTAGTGGAACAAAAATCGCTGGTCACCTTACATACAACTGATCTCTATATAGTTGTCTATAAACCATTTGCGGAGGTGCAAATTTTACTGTCTATGTTGCAAGTCAGGAAGTAAGTTTATGTACAGTAACTGACATGTGGCGTCAAGTCTTCGGATCTAAACAGATCATCCCAAGTGGCTGACACTTTGTT